CATCCTATTTGTGTCCTTCCGATGAATCCAACTACGGTGTTATCACTATGACGCCCTTCCGAACATTGAAGAAGTAGCTTCGTCTTGCTCTTGGGCCGGACGGTTTGAAGTGACATGGAAGATATAACGAAATGATTGGGAAAGGCAAATATTTCGAGACATTTTGGAAATTAGAGTGTGAAGGAGGGGTTATATCTGGTTGTCTTGGCTCACATGTAGAGGAACAATGCGTCCTCTTGATGTAAAGAAATACTTACTCTAGATTTGTTTGATGGTGGTTAAAATTGAAACCTAAAGGGAGGGGAAATGTGAGCAACACTTTTCTTTTCAATTGTTCTTTAGTAAAAAAAATAAAAATTCAGTGTTGCAAATTTCTCTCTTTTTCCAAGTTTAAGAATCGGTTCCATACTTGTATAAATATGACTACTATATGAGGAGGAAGTGCTTCGGTTTCGATACTAAAGTGTCTGTGTGACCTCAGCAGCATGGATACTACTAGGTTGTGTAAATCTACTATTGTCTATAGATCAGTGGTTCGTGTTCTTCAAATGTGGGCGAAAGAAGATAAAAAATTTGAAAGTCAACAATTAAAAACATTCGATTTCCAATTTTCCACTAAACACATCACTTCCTTATTATGCTTAAAGGTGTTTGTACAATGTTTGAAATTCTCAAGGAACGACATAAAATACACAAACATCAACTACAATTTATTCACCACACAATTCCAAAAGATTTTCTTTACCTTCTCTTATTGTTTTGAATCAAAATCCTATTTCTTATTTCTCACCTAAAGTGGCCAACATCCAACGAATCTTACAGAAACAAGAAAAAGACTCATAAGACATCAATATGATTATGTGTAAAACATGGAGTCCGAGAAGGGACTCACGAGGAAGGGATGAGTTGTCAAACGGCTGAGCCGAATCCGCCACCACCCGGAGTAAGAATCTGTAGGATTTCACCGGCTTCGATGTGTACAGTATTCTTGCCTCCAAGATAGATTCTCCGTTTATCTTTGGTGATGAGATAGTTTTCTCCACGAGCACCGTTTTGGCCTCCGTTCAATCCACGTGGTGAGTGTACTCGTCTCTCTGACAGAATACTAACCACCACAGGCTTTCTAAACTCTATCTCTCTCACCAGTCCATCGCCTCCTTTGTGAAATCCATTGCCTCCACTGTTTTCTCTCAATCCAAATCTATGCAACAGAACCGGGTACCTGATAAAACCCTTGTGTTAGTCTAGTGCAGGTAGGTCTGACCATTCGGTTATTCAATCCAAATCTATGCAAAAGTTGAGTCAGTTGAATTAGCTAACAGGTTAAGAGGAATTTTTTTCTTTACCTCTGTTCGAAGATCTCAGGATCAGTCATCCGCGTGTTAGTCATATGGCATTGGATTCCGCTTGTCCCATGCCATGTGGGTCCTGCTCCGCATCCTCCTCCAATGGTCTCGTAGTACCCAAATGTGTCATCTCCAAATGTGAGATTGTTCATGCAGCCTTGGGAACAAGCACAAGCCTTAAAAGCTGTTAGGACAACATCTGTAACTCTCTGGGATGTTAGAACGTTTCCTCCAACAACAGCTGCTTTCTCGCTTGGAGAGAGGAATGAACCAGCGGGTATGAGAATCTCAACCGGAGCTAAACAGCCCTGGTTTAGCGGAATATCGACATTAACCAGACAACGGAGACAGTAGATAACCGCTGCAGAAGTAACTGCTTCTGGGGCATTCCAGTTACCATAGACTTCCGGGCTTGTACCTGTAAAGTCAAAGAAGGCTGCTCCTTTATCAGCGTCGATTGTGAGTTTTAAGTGAATCACGGATCCGTCATCCATGTAATCCTCTTCTTCTATGGTCACGGAGTTGCCAACCCTTGATTTAGGCGTTTCTGAGGAGACTCTAATAGCAACAGATTTCAGCATTTCCCTCACTGCTTCTTCTGCGTTAAGCTGCACGTACTTCATGTAAGCCTGAACAGTTCCAAGGCCGTATTGCTCAATCAGCTCTTTAATCAGAGCAATTCCTCTCTGGTTAGCAGCTATCTGAGCCTGAAGATCAGAGAGATTGTCCTGAATTCTTCGGGTTCCGGGAATCTTAGTTGCTGTCTCATCAGAACAAGGGAATTGAAGAAGTTTTATGATTCCTTCTTCCTGGAAAACCCCTTTCTCAACAACTTTAAACGCCTTTATAGCAGCACCTTCCTCCCAAATCGCCTTTGAGAAAGGAGGCATGCTTCCTGGAGTTATGCCTCCAACTTCTGCATGGTGACCTCTACTAGCCACAAAGAACACAAGCTTACCCTTGTCAAAAACAGGTGTGATAACGGTTATATCAGGCAAATGGCTACCACCAGCGCAAGGATGATTAGTAACCAATACATCTCCTTCGTTCAGATTTTCACCCCAATATTTAAGCTGCCAGCGAACTGTACTGGACATGGCACCCAGATGAACTGGAACATGTGGCGCATTAGCAACTAAACCACCGTCAGGACTAAATAAGGCACAAGAAAAATCCAACCTTTCCTTGATATTTGTCGATATCGAAGTACGTTGCAGAGTTCTTCCCATTTGTTCAGCTATACCCATGAATCTGTGATTAAAGATGGACAATTGAACAACATCTGCAACATTCTCGGAAAGCTTCACAGTGCTCACTGCAGACTCTACCTCGATTTTAATGTTCCCATATTTTGTGATGATAGCTTTGCACTGAGGTTCTACTATAACCGTACTATTGCCGTTCATGATGATTGCAGGGCCCGGAATCTCATGGCCAAAACCTAAATTCTCTAACTTGAACAATGGTGTGTCATGCCATCCACTTTCAAAGTAAACCTTGTAGTACCTTTCAACTTTAGGAGTACCAGGGGCAGCTTCAACTGCACGTGGTTTCAATATACTAGTCACTCCAATTCCCCGAACTCGAACATCACATATAAGGAGATTTCTGTTCTGAAGTTTAAATCCATACTCTTGCTTGAAAAGCTTGAGAAACTCGGCAGCATAATCAAATGCTGACCCATCTCCAGTTTTTTTACCCTTTACCATGATCGCTGTGTCTGTGCCGTCATATCTTAGATTCAAATATGTCTCAGTGGAGATATTTTCATCACCAAAACCCTGCTCCTGGAGCTTCTCTCTCACTTCTCTCAGTAAGACAGATTCTCTTCTAAAGACCTCTGAAAGAGATTCAGGGCCATAAACAGCTGAATATGGCTCTTGAGCATCTTCAATAACATCTGCCAAACCCATTCCATAAGCACTTAAAATTCCACAGTATCTGTGAACGAGAACTTCTTTCATGCCTAAAGACCTCGCTATTGCACAAGCATGTTGCGGTCCAGCACCTCCAAAGCATGCGAGTGCATGGTTCTTTGTTTCATGACCCTTCATCTCCGTCAATTGCCGTATAGGACGGCACATTGTCTCATTAGCAACACTCACAAATCCCATTGCTATTTCCTCCACTGTCATGTCTTTTGCAGATGGATCCTGGCTCTTTCTATATGAATTTATCTGTCCCGCAAGCATTTCAAATGCTTTTCTTGTTGCTGCTACGTCTAAGGGCTGATCTTCGTTGGGCCCAAAGATGGATGGAAAATAATCAGGAATAACAAACCCCAAAACGAGGTTCGCATCAGTGACTGCTAACTCCCCTCCTTTGCGGTAACAAACTGGACCTGGGTGAGCCCCCACGGAATCAGGTCCAACCCGAAAAGCGCCAAACAGAAACTTTAGTTTTGATCCACCACCAGCAGCAACTGTGTTTATGTCAAGCTGTGGCGCTTGTATGATCGTTCCAGCAATCTGGGTTTCTATGACTTGCTCATAACTACCATCATAACGGCTAACATCCGTTGATGTACCACCCATGTCAAATCCAATCAGCTGTTTTTCAGTTTCCAGACCAAAGAGTGTCTGCGAGTAACCAACAACTCCTCCTGCTGGTCCTGACAATACAGCCTTGTGCCCTGAAAACCTACTTTCTGGTGCTAGACCTCCATCAGACTGCATGAACAGAACATTTACTTTCCCAAGATCATCATCGAATTTGGAGATGAAACCAGATAAGTACTCTTTGATCACAGGTGTTAAATAGGCATCCACAGTGGCAGTTAGACCTCGAGGAACAGCCCGAACCATCGGGGTCAATGCAGAAGACAAAGAGACATGTCTAAAACCCAACTCTAAAGCCAACTTCTCCACCGCAATCTCATGCTTTGGATAAGTGTATGAATGCATCAGAACAACAGCCAAACAACTTATCCCTTTATCAAGCAGACCCTTCAGCAACGGTTTCAAAGCTTCTTCATCAACTGTCTTCACAACTCTAAGAAGCTCACCAGACACACCCTTGATCAGACCCCCTGAATTATCACCTTTCTCAAGCGCAAGCTCGATTCTTTCATCAACCTCTATCACTTCTTCATAAAGATT